TGAAAAAAAACAAAACAAAACAGGAAAGAGTTTGGTTTTAGGTACCTGTGTGAAAATTTAATAAAGAGAGGATCAGCGGATATTAAGTGTATTTTTATATTAAATCCAGAGTTTGTAGAATAAAGTAAATAATGCGCTTTAAAAATGTTTTCCCTTAATATCAAAACAGAAGAAAAGGCATTGGCTTCATACAGTCTCAGATAGAATCAAATTCCCTTCCTTTATATGTTACATTAACAGATATTAATATTAGTAATTAATATTAATTGTTTGCTTTCCATGTAAGCCAATCTCTTACTTGAAAATCAGAAAGGCAAACAATGTTTTTTAAATTGTAGGGATATGATGATCTAAATTTGTATGCTTCACAAAATTTTTCTGAAGAATGGCTCAGAGTTAGCTAGTATGTCAATAAATAAAGACTCACTTTTTGAAAATAACTGCTAGATACTTTTTCTTTAAGTTTGCATTTGAGATTTCTAATTATGTTTTCCATATTTCCTAAGGGAGCAGGTACCACACAGTCCCCATCACAAGCAAAAACAAGTTTTAAAGGAGTCTAGACTAGGTTGGTACATATAAAATCTTCACCAAGTCTTTACAAGAATATACTTATAACACCAGAAATGGTTACTGAACAAGTAACTGAGGCTAAACTCAGGTAAAAAGCCCAAATTCTAGAAGATCGTATCTTGGCACATGCTGGTTTGCTTGGGGATACCCTGGATGCCCATCCCTGGTTAGAACAACCCAAATTTCTAGGTCCTGCTTGGATCCACTCCCCCTCTATACAGACAGGGACATCCTCATCTTTACCCATCAATCAGTCAAGGTCAGTTTAGTGACAGCCTACCTTCTGTCAAGTGACAGAAGAAACAAAGAGGTACTGGGGAGGTGGTGAGATTTGATTCCATGTCCCTTAGAAGCTAAGAAGCTGCAGATAAATGGGATGCACGCACCTGAATGAATGGGAAATGTATGATGGTTCTTTGCCATTAAATGGGCTGCTTTGGATAGCAAATGGGCTGCTTTGGATAGCAGTTGGAGACACACTTAGAATTTTTGAGAGAAACCATTTCATACTCATCATACTCATTTTGTTGCTCCTCTTCCTCTTTATCTTTTTGTTTGCTTGTTTGTATGTTTGTTTGGTTGGTTGGTTGGTTGGTGGTTGGTTGAAAGCCTTAGCCTATTCTCTTAACTAGAAGAGTATCTGCCAGCACGAAAGTCAACAAACTCACAGGAGACAAAAGACATTCTTGGTTTGATTGCTCCTAATAAACTTCAGTGCTTCCAGACCACATAATGTCATAGAGTTATTTGTAATGCTTCTTTAAAAGGGTGACAGGGTTCAGAAATAAACTGCACATGGTAAGAAGAGCCTCCCATGGGTTATCCCTGCAAAATGAGTTGCAAGGCTTTGGGAGTGGTGGTGGTTTCCGGCCATTAGCGTTACTAATCAAGGCCAGCTTTGCATTTATGGGAATCTGCACAAATCAGGATGATACAGGCTAGGCTCACTCAAGCAACTGCCTAATTTCTTCAAGGTTATGCTCAAACAAAACTTTACGCCAACTATCTTTGATTGGAATGCTTCATTATTTTTATATATCCGAGAGAAAGAGTTCATGAAGTAGATGCATTAGGTCCATGGGTCACAAAAATCGTATTTATTGCTTCATGCCCACATCAAGCAATTACTGTCAGCTCTCAATTAACCTCGTTATTGGAGGAAGCATTAGTGGAGACAATACGAATCCTAGATAGCCTACCCATGTCTTTCTTGCTGCCACAGTTGCAGTTGAGGTGAGAGAGAGAGAGAAGGAAAGAGAGATAATGGGAGCAACAGGAAAAGCTTGGGGCTAAGAGGTCTCTTCAGGAAAATCGGAGTACAGGGTGCCACTCTGCCCCCTTATCATGCCCCTTGCCTTTCTGCCCTGCACCGGGAAGCAAAAATAACTTTACTTTCTCTGCAAACTTCTGGCTGACAAACAAAAGGTGGGGGCCCGAAGGAGCCACGAGGGAGTGGAATTCTGTGAGGCTGGCAATCACCTGGCAGCCAGAGCCTGGAGGCCTCGGGGGACCACAGGCAGGTTCTAAGCTGAGGCTGAGCGCACCTTGCTGCCTAGAAGCTCGAGCCATGCCCAAGGCTCTCCAGGCACAGGTGAGTGCTTGGGTGCTTTGCCCTTTAGGATTCTGTGTCAGTCAATATGGCAAAAGGTGTTTAATTACAAATGTTATCATTAATCGTTTTCATACATGATAAGCATTCTCACACTATAGATGCCTACGGGTATAAGGACATGTCCGTCAATCAGGTTCCAGGCATTAGTGCTGTTCCCATCCTTCCGATGAAATGAACCCACTGGGCTGGGCACCTCCCTCCCAGGCCAGGAGCCACAAGAAGAGTAAAGATGACACCTTTTCAAGTGATTCCTAGTGGCGCTGCTCTAGGGAGGGTTCACATTTTAACAAGGGAGAAAAGTTCAGTGATAAAAACCACACTGAAATTCCAGACCCTACTGAGCAAACGGGGTATGGGAGAGACACAGAAGGGGCAAGGGAAAACCTGTGAAGCCACAGCAAAGGTAAGGGCACACTGGAAAGGAAAGCTGGGAAACAAAGTTGGGGAAAGAAAGGTGAAAAACCATAAAATTTTATTTTAATGAAAAAAACCCAGTTTGCATTAAAATGCAAATAAAGAGACAAATTCATGTCCTTTGTAAATATGACTTTGCTATAAAATTAGTGGAGTCTGGGAAACAGCTAGTTACCAGGGTTTGGTTTTTCTTTTTGTGTTTTTTGGTTTGTTTTTTTCCTCAGGATGCATTTCTGTGTATTAGTTTGAGAAACCGGGAAACTGGATGCAAAAACTCAAACGATAGAGTAAGAAACAGTGGGAAACATCTGGAGATTTCTGGAGAACATTGCCCAAAACTCTTCCTAATACCAGAGAGACAGAGAGAGAGAGAGAGAGAGAAAGGGAGGGAGAGACAGAGGGAAATATAATAGAGGGACTTCAAAAGTTCAGTTAAGAGAAAAGGCTAGTGGCTCTAAAAAGGAAAGTGACTCATATATTAACAGGGAAGATTATAAAGAATGTAAAAAATGGACTATAAAATATCAGCAAAAAATAAGAGTTAAAAAAGTAAGTGAAGCTGTTCATCTGATTCATTATTCTTCTGTGAAGCTTCCCACCTGGGAAGGTGTATACAAATGCAACGGAATGTGATATGACTTCTCAGTTTAAAAGGAGGTGTGAAATTAAAGGTACTATTACTTCTCTTCCCTTTTTCAAAACACAGAGAAAACCACAAAGTTAGTGAAAACAGAGGAACACAGCAAATGTAACCAAACAAATAAGCAAGCACAAAGTCTCCCATTCTTGTCACAAACCATGAAGCATACGCGACTAACTTCAGGAAGGACACTGAAAGCTGAGAAACATCTCAAGTCCTAAGCAGGTGCAAAAAGTTTCTGGCCAAAGTAATGTCAAAAATGTCTAAAGGGCATATGCAATGTGCCTTTGATGAGAGTGGCAAGAGGCACAATTTAATCCCCAGAAACACAGTTGGGCACCACACAACGGAGGGAGAGAGGCAGAGCTAAGAGAAAATGTTAATACTGTATTCCTATTTACTTTTGTATTGTGTTACTGTGCTCCTCTTAGCCAAGGAAGACTTCCAGAGGTAATGACATACCTAGAGAAATTCCAAGGGAACAATCCAGTAAAAAGAAACAAAACAATACACAGACTTGGATATTCTAGATAATTCTTTCATGCACCGAGTACAAATCTTTATACTTTGTGCCAATGGAAATTTTCTCTTAGATGACTATTCTGATAGAAAGCATTTGAATTTTCTATGTCAAGTCCAAAGAAGGAAATACTAAACAATAGGTAAGGCATCTAATTCTGTCGGGTTAAGTAACAGAATTTGAGAGATTTGTGAGATGGTTTCAATCTGAGCACCCATTTAGGTTTTCAAAGGAAAAAGATGAGGGATCGAGCAGAGGAGTGTGACCAGATTATAATAATCTCCTTGTGTTGTTGTCAAATGAAAGGTCTGAATTTGAATTAGGTAACACACTCTTCCTTATTTTCACAATTTGCGATCTGTAAGAGTTTTGTCCCTCTTTTCATGCCTCTCCACAGGTTACAATCTATAGAATCTCATGGGGCCCTGGCCTTTTAAAGAAACACAGTTTATGTATAGACAATGGACGATTAACAGACCTGTGAAGGAAGTCACGCATTGGAGGGCATCTAACTGAAAATAATGAAAATCAATGAAGCCAGAACAGACCCAAACATTAAGCAGCATGCACTTAAATGATATTAGCTAATGGCACAGTTGGGTGAACGAAGCAGTATGAGCTAATGTTGACTTCCTCTCTCAAGTTCAAAAACACTAGAATGGTCATAGACCCAAGGACCATACATTTCAAATTTGGGCTGCTAGAGAAGCTGTTATGGGTTGAACTGTGTCTCCCTAGAATTTATATGTTTAAGTCCTAACCCCTAGTACCTCAGAAGTGACTATATTTGGAGGAATGGACTTTAGAGAGGCAATTAAGATCAAATGAGGTCATTGATGGGCTCTACTCCGGTCTGGCTGATGTCCTTATAGGAAGAGGAGATTAGGACATGGATACACAGGTGAGGACACAGGGAGAGGAGGCCATGTACAAGCCAAGGAGAGAGGTCTCAGGAAAAAAAAAAAAAAGTCAACACTGTGAACACCTTGATTTCAGACTTCGAGTCTTTAGAATTGTGAGAAAATAAATTCTGTTGGTTAAGCGCCTCCCTCTCCCCCCGCCCCCCCCCCCCCACCAGTCTGTGATGCTTTGTAATGGGAGCCCTAAGCAGACTAATACAGACACCTGCTAGAGCCCTTTTTTTTCTCTTAGAAGTGAGCCCTTTTTTTTTTCTCTTAGAAGTCTGAAATAAGACCCTTTAAGTTTCTTTTATGGTTAAATGCATTGTACATCATACTCACAACCCCGACAGGAAAGGCCAGTACGGCTAACATCCAGTCCCGGAGCGAGATAAGCTTCTTGAGCTGCCTTTCTTGTTCTTGGTTCCCACTTCCTCTAGTCAGAAGACTGGAAAGATCAGTCAGCACGCAAATACCAAAAAACACAGCCTGGATGACCTGGAGGGAGACAACAGCTCGTGTTAGTCCATAAGATCTAAAGAGACCCCAGCTGTAGGACAGCAAACAAGCTACAACTTTGCAACATGACACAGGATAAGAGATGATCACAAGCGTATTTACAGAGCTGGCCCTACAAATAAAAAAAGAATAAGATATTTGCAACTTGCTATCATAGGTGAGAAAATTCATCCTAAAAACACTGCTTCTGTTTTTGCTCACCTTGGGACAAATGCAAACTCTGCATGCACGTACATGTCTAAAGAGGCCCAATACAAAGCAGTGTCAAATATCAAATATCATAACGACATGCCTATTATTTTAAAATATCACATCTGTGGGGTCATTACATTGACTAGTAGGGTTTAACAAACATCTAAGAAGTGCAAAGAAAAGAATCAAGGTAGCCTGAGTAATAAATGAGACACTTTTGTCTGAATGTAAAGAAAACTTCCAATGCTCTAATCTCCTAAATTTGGAAAGTTCTCCACCAAAGGAAGTGGTAGAAAGCTTCTAGTCCTTGAGTCACAGAGAAATCAACTGAATGCAATAATCAAAACTGGTACAGAATGATTTTCTGTTGTCAAACCTGAACGACAGGACCTCCTTCTCAGATTTTCTGTTCTTCTAAAATAAAATCTTTCCAAAGTAATACAAACATAGATACCCATACCATATTCCCCAAAAAAGTTTTCAGTTGTACATTCCCAAATAAATTACAAATTAAATTACTTACATCAGCTACGTGTAACTTGGACTATCTCAGGGGAGGACATTGAAATACTACAATTCAATAATCTGTGAAATTCCTAATGTGGGAGCAAAAGTATCGATGATCCAGAGCTGTGGGTGGAGGCAGGAAGCATACTGTAATACAGCTTGGCAAATGATCATTCAAATTATGGAAAGGGCAGAAAATATATTCCCTGGGCTCAAAAATCAAACCCATTTAGCACCAAGAGTAGATTCAGGGTAAGTTTTCTGGTGTCCTCTACCAGAAATAATTCACTGATGACAGATTTGCAAAAGATACAATTTTATTCACTACCTCTTTAGAAAACAACAAAAAATTTTTGGTAAATTTCCATCTTGGCAGTGGAAAGGATCTGTGAAAGCTCTGTGGATGAGTTCCTCATTGAGGCACAAAACGAAGGGAAGAAGGACCCTCAAAATTACCAGCTTCCATTTAGCATAGCGCTGACACACTTGGATTGTCAAATTACTCTGTTCAAATTCTTATCTAAGCCATTTTGAAAATTCCAAATAATGGAGATTCCATTGCTGACCTTAGTCAAATAAACAAAAACCCTGCAGTATTTTTACATATAATACAATTACCATGTTATTCCAAGTTGACCAAATCCTGCCATTATTTGCCAATGTTAGCTAAAGTTCTATTCCTTCTCATAACTTAGCCTGCCTTTCAGCTTCAATGACTTAAGGTTTATTGTTATGCTTTCTACAACAAGAAAAAGCAGAGGAGGAGAAGCTGAGATGGCCATAACTGAGCATGTTGGCAAGAATCATGTTGTGATGACCAGAAATAATTTTAATGACTCAGGGAATAATTTCACACTTAGGAAAACTTTCCATAACATATCTTATCGCTGTAGATGTTTGATCTTTATGTCGACCCTAAGGGGTTTTGAGAAATTGGAGTGGCCAGGCTGGGGAATAATAATCTCCATGCCAATTTGGCCTGTGGACATAGTAAAAGGGGCCCTACATGATCAATTACTAGGGAAACACAAATGTAGACCACAATGAGATAGCATTTTTCAACCATATAATTTTCACAATTTAATTCTGACAATACTACTGTTTATAAGGATGTAGAACAACCAGAAGCCCTATGGTAGGAATGCAAACTGGAACAACCCCTTTGAAGAATACTTGTCAATGTCTAGTGATTTAAAAATGTACATTCTTTATTATCTAATGACTTCACTATCGAGAGTATTTGCTAGAGAAACTGTCATGCGTGTGTTCTAGTCATATGCATGTGAAGGTTAATTTCTGCATTCATTGCTTCAAAAATTTGGATTTAATGTTTCAATTTGACTGGATAAACAAACTGTGCTATATCCATATAGTGGAGTTCTAAGTACATATCAATTTTTCATTCTCACAACAAAACATTAAACAAAAAAAGGAAACCAAGAAAATGCTACATTTTGACAGCATCAAAATAAATTTCAAAAAAGTGCAAAGATAATTTTAAGGATGCATGTATATGAAGTAAAATATGAAGAAATGCATGGAATTAATAGCTTGGAATTCAACTACCTCTCCAAGGAGGATAAGACTGGGGAAGGACCTCAACTGTATCAGTAATATTTTATATTTTAAGTTGATTATTTGGGTATATAGAAGTTTATTGTATTATTCTCTGTGTACTTCACTATTATGAAATATTTCCAAAGAACTTAAAAATAAAAGGTATAAAAGAGTGGTTTTCATATTTTGGGGCTGCAGCTGGTGAGTCTCTTTCCGTTATTTTCCTTCTAACTCAGTTTCCTTTAGTTCTAAAAATTGGCTTGTAATAGCAGGATTTACTAAAATCTCCAAATTAAGTGAATTAAGTGAATTTTAAAATTCCATGATCAAGTAACTACTACCAGTGCTGCCTTCCCACCATAAACAGCTAGACATTTGGACTATATATATAAATCAGCTTTTTCATATATTGAACTTTTTCCTCTGCAATCAGCCAAAGAAATCTCTCATTTTTAAAAAATGGCTCACCTGATGAGGTCAGACCCACTTTGAATAATTGTCCTTTTGCCACATAAAGTAATGTAACTGCAGGATTGATTGTATTCACAGAATCTTCCAAAACCCCAAGGAAGGAGACTATACAATGTTGAATATCACTGAGAGTCATTTTCTCATTTTACCTGCCACAAGCTGTAGGTTAAACGATTTTTAGAGAACACTCAGAATGGAGAGGTATTCAAGTTCTGACCAGAGAGGCCTTATTGACTACAACAAGAATTCAGTAGAGACCTAAGAAGTTTATTACCTAATTAGTGATGTTAAAATAGCCTTGGAATAAAGGCTACTTTATACCCACCCCACTAGTACTTAAAAACAATCATCACAGAAAAAAGCAAGCCAATATACAGTATCTTAAATACCTGCAAAAACAAAATTCTACAATTTTTAAAGGAATATAGCAAAATCTAGACATTCAGCAATAGCCAACATTACACTATCAACATCCAATCAAAAGTCACTGGACTTTCCAAGAAGTAAAAGAATCCTTAATCAAGAGGAAACTAATTAGGTAAAAACAGATATATGGGATGCCTCGGTGGCTCAGTTGGTTAAGCATCTGACTCTTGATTTCAGCTCAGCTCATGATCTCATGGTTTGTGAGTTCAAACCCCGCAGTAGGTTCTGCACTGACAGTGTGTAGCCTGCTTGGGATTCTTTCTCTCCCTTTCTCTCTCTCCCCCTCCCCTGCTCAAGCTTTCTCTCTCAAAATAAATAAACATAAAAAAACAGGTATAGAAATGACATAAATATTGGAACTAGCAGACAAGAACATAAGTTCAAGAAGTTAAATGAAAATAATGAGCCAAAAAAAAAAAAAAAGACATTAAAAAAGAACCAAACTGAACATCTAAAAATTAAAGACACTGCCTGAAACTTAAAAGTCACTAGGTGGAAATAATAGCAAACTTGACACTGCAGAAGAAAAATCTAAAAATTGAGTATATAGCAACATAAACTATTCAAAATGAATCTGAGAAAGAAAAAGATTTTAAAGATCAACAGAATATCAGTGACTTGTGAGAAAATATTAAGCAGTCTAACATAAGTGTATTGGAGCTGCAAAGGAGCAGGAAAGAGAGTCATGTAGAAAAAATATTAGAAAAGAAAAGAAAAAGCATTAGAAGAAACAATGGCTGAAGTTCTTCTAAAACTTCATGAAGTCTTCATGAAAACTATAAACGTGCAGATCCAAGAAATGAAACAAATGGAGTATAAACAAAGAAAACCACATCAAGGTACAGTGTAATCAAATGCTGAAAATTCTGTGGAAAAGACATCACATACAGAAAAATAAAGATAAGAAATTTCACAGCTTTCTCATGTAAAACAACACAAGCCAGAAAACAGGGACCTTAAAGTCCTACAAGGAGGAAAAACTCTCAAAGGTGAAAGACTTTTTCAGACAAACAGAAACTGAGAGAAGTTATCGTCAATAGCCTTTCACTACAAGAAATGTGAACAAAATGGGAAACAGGATACCAGATATAACTTCAAATCTATATGAAGCAATCAATGACAACTGCTAAAAATTATAAATATGTGGATAAATATAAAAGATTTATTTTTTGTTTTATTTAATCTTTTAAAAATAAATAACTAGTTAAAGCAGAAATATGAGAACGTACTGTGAGGATTTAAACATATTTAGAAATACAATTATGACATAGCACAAGGGAAAGAAGAAATGGAAGGTGTAGGTTGTTAAGTTTTTAGCTATATATGAAGTGGCATATTATCTGGTGGCAGACGGTGATAAGATGTATACCGTAAACCCTAGAGGAACCACTAAGACAGTGAAACGGAGACCTTCAGCTAATGCATTAGTTGTCTGTGCTACATAACAAATTACCACAAATTTAGCAGCTTAAAACAACATCAATTTACTTGTTCACATTCTGTAGGTCAGAAGTCCGAGTGGGTTAGTCTGGCCCTATGCCATCAAAATCAAGGTCCTGGCTAAGGAGCATTCTTATCTGGAGGCTCAAGGAAAGGAGCTTCAAGATCATTCTGGTTGTTGGTACAATCCAGTCCCTTTTGACTGTAAGACTGAGGTTCATGCTTCCTTGTTAACTGATGGCCAGGTACTCTCAGCTCCTTGGATCTGCTCTCCAACCCTTGCACCTGCTCTCACCCCGCGCCCCCACCCCCCAGCCCACCAATCTTCAAGTCCAGGAACAGAATATCAGATTCTTCTTGTGCTTCAGATCTCCCTGACTTTCCCT